CACTCTATTCTAATAGAATAGATGAACTTTAATGATCCCAGTTGGGAAATTGTTGTGTCAAAAACCAAAACAGGAAGCTTCAGGTTTTTAATTTCCCAATATTTTATCAAAAAAACTGATTCATACTCTCACACACACACTCTCACACACACACTCTCTCTCTCTCTCTCTCTCTCTCTCTCTCTCTCTCTCTCTCTCTCTCTCTCTCTCTCTCTCTCTCTCTCTCTCTCTCTCTCTCACACACACACACACAGCAGAGGTGTGTTGACTTCAAAACAAATGTTTAAAACCAGTGTGGACACAGAGTGAGTTCACAGCGCCTCCTGTCTGTCATCTGAGGTCCAGCAGGCTGATCTTTGACTCTCTCACCACCACATGTTTACACACCTGAGAGGGCGAGAGACATGCACACAAGCAGAGTTGATCATGAATCCTTAGAGGGACAGTCTGAAACAGAGCTGCTGAGCCTGAGATGATGCGGTACAGCAGCACTAAATGGAGATTGGTCAGTGTCTAACATGTAGTGTGTGATGTCACTGAGCTGATGACATGTCAAGTGAACTGATGACTTACAGTAAAGAGAGGCGGCTCCTTGGAGTGAGGGTGGAAACCTTTCAGTCTGCAGCCGCACACCTCCAACATCCCTGGAGCAGTGAGCTGGAACACGCCAGTGCTGGGGGGAGGGGGATGGGTTAGAGCCACAGCGTCTTCAGTTTCTTTTAAGTGCTCCAGTGAGGTGCAGTGACTGATGGGTACTTTTTCGACTTCCGGTGAACTGAGGATCTGTTGTTCAGTTCTTTTCTGCACAGTTTCCACTTCCCTCTGAACTTGACCCCTACGGTCAATCATGCTCTTAATCATGTGTCTTAAGTGAGATGGTGAGTATTGCATGCTGTTGAAAGGCCTGATGGGAAATGTAGTTTTTATGTGTGTGGGACATACTCATTATGTTTGGGAGCGCAGACGATGGCGACGGCCTCCGGCAGCATCAGCTGGTATGAACAGTGAGTGTGGAGGTCAACGCTGGACAGGAAGGCAGTCTGAGTGGGATGAGTCTGAAACTCACACAAACAACACAACTCTTATTAGACACATCCCGACTGGCTGCTGACACTGTGAGGACGTAAAGACACATTGTGGGGACCGTCCAGTTGTAACAAGTGAAATTAAAAATGTGAAATAGAAAAACTGTTCAGAGTGAAACCTCTGTCCTTCTGTTCCTATCTCTGTCACTCCCTTTCTCATGTGCTGCTCAAACACTGTTGCCATGGTGATATTTGATCAGCAAATGAAGTACAAGAGAAAGTACAATGGAGGTCCCCAGTCTGTCTGTGGGATCAGTGGGTGTGTGGTTTACATTACGTCATTTGGCAGCTCTCCTTTATCTTAAACATGGAGATGACGTGTTCATCACGGTGTCAACAGAGCTCAGTGTGTAGTTAGCATGTGTTGAATGTACGCTTAGCATGTGTTGAGTGTGTAGTTGGCATGTGTTTAATGTTCCTTTAGCATGTGTTTAGTGTGTAGTTAGCATGTGTTTGGTGTGTATATAGCATGTGCTTAGTGTGTATTTAGCATGTGCTTAGTGTGCAGTTAGCATGTATTTAGTGTTTATTTAGAATGTGTATTTAGCATGTGCATAGTGTGCAGTTAGCATGTGTTTGACATTTATTTAGCATGTATGTAGCACATGTTTAGCATGTACTTATCATGTAGTCATACATGGATCCAGCCCAGCGTCAGCAGGTTCTGCTGGTCCTGGAAGCTAAATAGTTCCTCCACGTTCTCCATGTCACAGAAGTCTGGACCGGCCGACTGTTTGGGGATCACGACATGAGTCAGCACAAACTCATCGTGTGTCTGAGGGAAAGAGACAGTCAGACAGGAGAGAGAGAGAATGAATACCTGGGTAGTTTTCAGGTGACTTCTGGTTTGTACTAACTTGTTAAACATTCAATCAGAGAATCAAATATATTTGATCATGATCATTATCAGTAGCTCGTCTCACCAGTCGTCCACACAGAACTCCACACATTTCTATTCCTCTGGCCGTGTTGGAATCAGCCAACAGGAGGAAACGATGCGTCAGATCTCTGGGAATCACCACCCGCCTCAGACCTTCCATCTTCTGAGCTGCACACACACATAAAACAAACGCATACAGGAACATAAAGGCACACGGTGTCGGTATATATATACACACACACATTGCACATACAGTTTGTAAAGTATGTGCACCTGGGAACTCACAATGTACTCCAGCCAAAGTGGCAGTTCGTTGGCTGATGGGAGCAGCTCTGTTTCTGTTTGGATCCACCCCCTGGGATCGTACACCATCTCTGATTGGCGGCCGAGATAGACAGGAGCCGTCCGTCACCTCAGGTACTTTGGTCTCCACCTGCAGGACAAACATGTTACTGCAAAAATACGACTGATACTGCTAATACTACTGATACAACACAGCACTGATACTACTACTGACGCAACATAGTACTGATTCTACACCAGAAGTTGTACAGGTGTACTGGGCTTGCTGTTGATATGAGTTGAAGCTGTCAAAGTAGTAGCAGTAATATTAGGTGTAGTGGCCCATTTTTTGTATTAGCAGTAATGGTTACAGGAATAGTAGCAGTTATAGTCAGTAGTCGTAATAGTAGTAATACTATTACAATGTGACCTTTTGTGGCGCATCCTCTCCTCTCCTATTAGCCAGTTCCTGACGCCTCAGCTGGTCTTCAAAGTAACGAAACTGTTCTGATTCAATCTGCATCCGTCGCAAGGCGGCGACACGCTGTCTCTCCCCCTCCAACAGCAAAAACCGCCTCCTGTCCTCGTCCAATAGGGAGAGGCACTGCAGCTGCTGGCCACACCCATCCACCACCACCGCCTGGCTCTAAGGAAACACAACTGTTGTAAAACACCTGTACTAACACACCTGTTCCCAAACATACACAACAGACTCCTGTATATGTAAAGAATAACACTTCCATCTCACTTCCACAAACCTGTGAGTCAATCTATCATCTATACTGATGATACAGAACAGGTAAACACACGTGGTAGAATCTGATTGGACAACACAAACAGACCTGGGCTCTGAGGTACTCGCTGTGTTCCCTGCTGTATTTCTCCTGAAGACGCTTCTTCAACTCGTCTTTACGAGGGAATGCCACTTCCTGAAGTTTCTACACAAACGAGACACAGAATATTACTACTACAACTAATACTGCTGTAGTCACCAAGACTGGTACGCCTACTGTGCCTCCATGCGCATTTAAAGACCAGCACCAGTCTTGAGTCTTGTAGTGGATCTGAAGCAGGGAGCCACTGAAGTAAACTGAGGACAGGATTTGTGCTGGAAACATTGGGGAGAGTGAGCACCAGGATGGAAGAAGCTTTCTGGACAATTTATAAAGGTCCCGGAACTATCACCAGAGTTCTGGGGGTCTAGCTCCAGATCTCTAGGGAAGTAGCTCTCAGAGTCTGAGGACAGAAGTATGCTCTGTCGTCAGACAGAGGTATGGGGACTATCCCCAGGAGTGTGGTCAGGGGCGGCTGGTCAAAAATGTAAATTTCCCCATTGTGGGGTGAATAAAGTATATCTAATCTAATCTAATCTAAAAAATGGTGATAGGGCGCCACCCTCCCAAAGAAAAAAAGGAAAAAAGATGATAGTCATACATATTGTGAATTATGATTATAATCGTCATTATTATTTTCAAAATCAATTAAAATATACAAATGTTCAAACAGTTTTTCCTGCCTGCTGCCTTGAATATCGTCTATAATCAGCTGCAGCGTTGAGCCCTGTTCAGTACACGCTTTCATAGACTTTTATTTTCAAACTGCAGGCACTGCAATGCATATCTTTGACTTCCGGGAAGGCTCGCACTAACGTGCTTTCATCATACGTAAGGTGGAGCACATGCACTTTGGTCCAAACATGCCGTGCCTATCATCCCGCCACTGGAGAGGAGCAGTGTTGTATATTAACGGCGTTCATTGAACGCGATCAAATTCTTTGAACAAATCAGTTTACATACGATGAACGTTCATTTTTCAAATCATCGTATCAGGCCATCATGAGAAATACCAGGAGTGGGCGCACACACACACACACATTTTCTCTCAAACAGACACACATTGGCCCCGGGGCCCCGCCCCCACTCACTTGCTCAGAGCAACACACACAGTGAGATCAGAGCCTGTTCACGTGAAGCAGGTCAGAAACTTTGTTGAAGAACAGTGGAAACAAAGTGATAATACAGAGTTTCTCTCTGCTCACAGCTGCTCCATGATCAGTTGGTTTGTATCGAGCTGGAGTTTCTGTTTCCTCCTCCACTCTGAGCTGCTCTCACTTTAGATAACAAACACATCTTCACTAGTTATCAGGACCTGATCAGTACATGAAGTCACTCAGTGTTTGTTTTGATTCCAGAGTTTATGAGACTCATTTAAACATCATGAAAAATGGCTCGTCAACATGTTGTTCTCAGTTCAACACGAGACGTGACGTGAGCAGCAGGACTCAGTGTTAACGTGACGGAGCGACACACAAACATGTATCTACCCATTAAACAGGTAACCTTAGCCATCATTGCAACAATTCCCCGATGAGAACTTTGGCAGGAGCCGCCATTGAGTGCGGGGTCTAACTCTACAAGCCTGAACACAATGATGAGGCTCCCCATGGCTGGTGATCGGTGTTGTTACCTTCATGATGAGCTGTTTCTCTGGAATGCTGCACAGCTGGTAATCTCTGTGACTCGGCAGCTTCTCTACAAACAGACTGAACAAACATGTTTTCTATGAGAGACTGAAGATGTAATATAATCGTTGAGATGAAGACATGATGATGTCAGTCGTTTTATTTCTTACGTGATGAACTTGGTGTAGAGGACATAGGCATTCTCCAGACTGCCCTCCTCCAGGTACACTGCCGCCATGCGCTCCATCTCCACACCGGAGCGGAAGTAGCGTCGTGGTGTAATGTCGTCATTGATCTCCACACTGAATCCCATCTTCCCCAGTGCCCGAACACGCTCCGCTGCCGTCAGCGACACGTCAGTGTAGTCTGGTTCTGCTGCCAGCTTCTTCTACACAACACAAACACACAAGTAGAGAAACTGCTGGATGCTGCTATGATAAGGTAACATACCACAACATGTCCAGATTACTTGTGTTTGGACATCTATTACTGAAAAGAAGAAGACGACAGACACTCATTCATCAGGTCATCTCCACCTGCATCAGAAACAGGTAGTTTTATTTTAAGGAGGTAGTCAGTAAGGAAACATCGGATTCTATGTAGCTGCCTCTTGATATCACAGTGACAGTAACACTGAGTGGAATCTGTCCGGAATCAGTGCAGGACTCTGAAGTGTCCCACCACCTCTATAATGTGTCTAAACAGTCCTGATATTAGACATAAAGAACCTGTGTCATGGTGACTCCACCTCATCCATCACTGTCTCACATCAAAACCCTTCATCAAACACATTAACATCTGAGCTGAGATTTCAGGCAGGAAACTCTTTTCCGTCGCTGCCCGGAGTCTGAATGCAGCGTTTGTTACTCAGATAACCAGTCCTCTGTTCACCATGTTTTCTATTCACAAGACGCAGCAGAGACAAGACAGAAAATGAAACGATGGAGGCAGAGATTAGCAACAGAGAAGGGGAAATGAGGGAGGAGGGAAAGACAGAAGGAAGATAGAAGAAAATTATAGAGGGCAGAAAATGGGGAGAAAGAGAAGGAGAGAGAAGTGAATCCCCCTTTCTTAGCCCTAATATCTCATGTATATTTCATTTCAATGTTTTCTATTTGATATGTGTTTTATTATTTTTGGATGAATGTTAAATATGAATCTATTAATGCTGCTTGTGTTAGCAATGCTAATGTTAGCTACACTCTATGATTCTGATCAAACTGTTATTAATTAGTTGTTTTTCAAATTTCCTGACAAGTCAATCATTTGTCAAAAACAACCAACGTCTCTGCTGTCTTCAACTAACAGGATTTAAGCTTTTAATTTGAAGGTCTGAGAGGACATTACACTTCCAGTAGAGTCACACACTCACCAGTGTATTTAAACTGAAGTCTTGGTCCATGATTTGTGTGTGTGTGTGTGTGTGTGTGTGTGTGTGTGTGTGTGTGTCACTCGGTCCACGACCAGCTCGTCCATCTGCCACCTCCCATCATGCTTCACTGCAAAGACAGAAAGACATTGGTCGTCACTCTTCAGTTTTGTGTGAAATGTCCCTTTAACTAAGAGGCTGTGAGAAGCAGCTAGCACAGAGGCTAAAGCTAACAGCAGCAGCCAATCAGAGCAGGTTATGTGTGAGGGCGTTTTATTTCCCATCAGCCCCTTGTCCTCACACCTGCTTGTCCTTCAATTGATCCACAGTTACCATGACGACCGTAACTAACAATCCAGTGAGTCATCCACTGGAGCAACAGAGAATTAGAAAAGAAGAAGACGCAGCAGAAGAAGAGGAAGACATCAGGTTTCTTGTCTGAACCTAAAAACAACCAGCAGCTCTGATTCATCCCATCATCCTGACTGGAGGACGTCACTATGGCAACAGCTGCATCATCCTGGAGGCCGCAGAGAGTTTCAGTCAGACACTGAAACCACTTGTTGAGTTACATCTGAATCCAGATTCAGTTCTGATCCTGGTCCTGATCCTGATCCTAGTCTTGATCCTGGTCCTGGTCTCTAATCCTGATCCAGATCCTGGTCCTGGTCTCTAATCCTGATCCAGATCCTGGTTCTGGTCTTTGTCCTGTTTTCTGGTAACTATCTGCTACTAGTGAGTGTCTGCTGCTCTCCAGCCTCAGGGGGCAGTAATGAGGTGAAGACAAAGACTGGCGATGTGTCTGTTTTATCAGAAGAACAGACAATAATAATAATAATATTAATGATAATAAAACAAAGATGACCTGAGGTCGGTTTAAATCCGTGAATCATTTGAAAAAATGATTTCCTGTCCAGTGGGTATGTGCTGTCGTAATGTCGCATACAGCCTGCAGGGGGTGCTGACAACTCACACTGAGTCAACCTTTGATAGCATATTTGTGTCATAGTGCATTAACATGGAGAAGAACCACAGCGCTCGACTGCAGCAACTCATGATTCACTCAAACTTCCTGCTCGTCCACATTCTGCTGCTGCTCGACCTTTGACATCTGCCCCACCTGCACAGGCGACAGGAAGTGCTGAAGCCTCACATAGTATAGAAGCTAACCATGCTAATGCTTAAATCAGTCACTTAACAATTAAGGTGTTTTATTGACATTTAAGGGGGAAATGAACTGTGATGTTCATTAGAGAGATTACTTTCCTCAGTTTTTATTTAAGGCGAAATTATTATTGTTTTAATTAATGAAGAGCAATGTATTATTTTAAATGATTTTCCACTTAAGGGACTTGAAAACCCATTAAATAACATGGCTGTCTGTTAAGAGTTATTTTAAGGATTAAGTTTGAATGTACAGGTCTAATGTTCTGATGTATATTATGATTAATATATATTTTTTAATCAAAAATCATCACAGTCCATTCATTTGTTACAGAAAAGACACTTCATGAAAAAACGATTTAATATTGAAAAACATTACATAAATAAATGTTCAAATAAATAAATCAACAAACAAACAAACCAAGGTGTTTTCACCTGAAATCCGGATTTTCAAAATAAGAGTTCATGAGAAATGATTGATAAATAATAAATGGAAAAGTTAAAACTGCTCCTTTTAAAGTTATTATTATTGAAAAAGGAAGTGAGTTTTGTCCTGAGGGGACAGATGAAGACCGTGGACAGAAAGCTCCAGGAGACATGTACCTTTAATCCAGCGTCACATCTGGAGCTGAGAGCGGGACACAGCTGGAGAACCGCCCGGGTCACAGGCTCTCTACTCGGACTGAATCCGCACCACGTCCTGGGTCTGGATCCGGGATCGAACCCACGGCTGAGGGTGAACGTAAATTTAAGAAGACGGTGAAACGCGTGACAGCTGATGATGGTGGAACTCACAGATCGTCTCTGCGCACAGATGACTCACTACACCTTCCGGTTAACACTCCGCACATGCGCACCACTGCTGCCAAATACAGGAGCCAACAAGTGGAGATGTGTCACTCTGACACGTTTTCCATAAACCAAACTGATGCATCCAGAGATGACCAATCAGCAGCAGGTACACACAGTGACGTCATCACCTCTGATTCATTAAAACAGTTGTCCCTTTTCATCATCGACATTAAAGTGACCATGATGAAAAAACTCTCTTACACTAAATGGTCGCATAGCTAGCTTAGCTTAGATAGCTAGCTGGACCCAGCTGGATTGACCTGTCCACCTGTCCTGTGTCTTCTTCTTGGACCTCCATGGAAATTCAGAAATTTGTAAATTCACTAGTTAAAGGTCAAGTGTGTAGGGTTTAGGTGAAAGGGATCCATTGGCAAAAATGTTATATAATTGATCCTAGTGTGTTTCGTCTAAACGAATGTACGAATTGTTGTTTTCTTGACTAAAATGAGACTTTACATTTAAAAACTCTGGATTTCATTAGTAGTGGGTCCCCTCAATGGGGGCCGCCATGTTTTTCAAAGCAGTTCACACTGAACAAACTAAACAGCTTTTGAATTTTTATGACAACTGAAGCAGTTTTCACGTTTGTAAGGGGGGGTGAGGTGAGGAGTACTCAGCTGCAACATGACACTTCACCACTAGATGTCACTAAATTCTACACACTGAACCTTTAAAGTGACGTTTGCAATCGCAGTGTTTGTTGGGAGCGGACAAATGAAATGACACACACACACACACACACACACACACACACACACACACACACACACACACACACACAGTGTTGTGTACCTTACTCAGGTTTGAACACGTCTCTGAGGTAAAGGTCTGCGTTGTCCTCCACTGGATCTTCAGTGCTGAGCTTGAATTTGTTTAGTTCCACGAGATATCACATATCACCAGAGAGAAGAAAACACACGTGTGTCGACTGCAGGTGTGAAATACGTCAGGTGAGAGTAGTTCCACATGACGCCACTAGAGGCGGAATCCTCCACATGTCACCGTTTCTACAGTGACACCAACAGCTCCGCTGCCGCAAGGACAGATACAGGGAGTCTTTCCTGCCTACAGCAATAAAACTGTACAATTCCCACCTCTGATAGTACTTAGTAATTACTGCTGCAATAACTGTCAATTATTTATTTCTTTTGCTCATATTATATTCATACTCATTTTACTACATATAGTCATATTTATTATTTTAGTCATGTCAAACAAATACTGCAATCATGCACCTTGTCTCTTTGTGTCCTACTGTTGTGAACGTTGACCTGCTGCTGTGACACAACAAGTTCCCATGGGATCAAGAAAGTTCATCTAATCTAATTAACCTGAAAATGTTGAAATGTATTTTATTTATTTTTTTCAGTTTGTTGCTGCATCTTCAACACGTTTGTCGTCACGACTCATCAAACTTTTTCAAAATATGATCTGATGTCAGATCAGCTGATTTCATCTGTTCGGTCTGTGTCACTGCGATTGTTATTATGACATCGTTGGTTCTAATCCATCATGAGTCAAAGTCATTTTATTGTGTTGTATATTGAGCGGCGATGATGTGAAGATGATGAAGGAATCCTCGCTGATACCGTCTTGCTTGTGTAAATGGTTTATGACAAGGAGTTCAGCATCATAACAAGCACTGCAGTCTGCCTGGAGACAGATTCTCAGATCTCCCTGACAGCTGCAACTCCCCGTTTATATCGGGAGAGTTGTCGTCGTAATCTTGAAAAAACACATCTGGTTCCCCAAATCTCCCATTTCCTCTGAATTAGAAACAGATCATTTGCGCCAGCTCAAATTAGAGCGGTAATTAGAGCCTTGACCTATGGACCTGACGCCCACACTTAGCTTTTCTCAGGAACCTAAAGGCACATGGACCTCCAGATTATCAGGGCCTGTGGACCTCCGACACGTGATCAACTTCCTTCAGAGATAAAATCAACACATGGCCTTTTAGACACACAATTGAAAAACTGAACACAAACGATTCTCAATTAAATGAATAAAACACAACACATTCATGTGACGTCATCGTTCTGATGTTTGTGTCGGATCTTGTTTAATTTCGCTTCAGACTGAATTCCATCTGTGAAGCCCGGCCTCTCCGTGACGTCACTCCTCCTCAGGCGTGAAACGGACGGAAAGAAACCGGAAATTGCGTTACAGTCAGTTTCAGAATCAAACTCAACAGAGTGAGGTGAGGACAGACAGGAAGTGGTAGGTGTATGATTTCAAAACAAAGCAAAGTTTTCCTGGAAATCTGTTTTACATCGCTGCTGTTTGATGATGACGTCATGATAATGAAGGGAAGGACCATCTTCATCTTCATCTTCATCGTGAAAAGGAAAACCACTTGAAAACTGAACGTTTTAAGAATCTGTGAAGTTTTGAGTAGTTATAGATAAAAATAAATTGATTGTGAAATTTTTAAGTTGCAATGTTTATTTGATTTAGAAATTTTCATTTTGAGTTAACATAAAAAAATGACAGAAAACAAACAGTATCCTTCATTCACGTGTCACTGATTCAAACTCTTTGTATAGAAGTAGACCTGAAATTTAAGAAATTAAATGTGTCTTTTATTTTGATATGTGGAACAGGAAGTAAGTGTGCAGACGTGTGTGTTTGTGTGTGTGTTGATGTTCACAGGTGAGTTCCTGTCAGCCGCCATGGGTCTGGTTTACTCTGAGGTAACAACTTTATTTATTTCATCTTTATCACACACACAGACACACAGACACACACACACATGTATATATACATATATATATATATATATACTCATACACACAGACACACACACACACAAACAGACACACACACACACAAACACACACACACTTTTAGTAACTAGTTACTGAGTGAGAACATTAATTAATGTTTTTCTGAAAGTATTTTTTTCTGATCGTTCAAATGAATAAAAATGTGATGAAACAATTGAATTGTGCGTGTGTGTGTGTGTGTGTGCGTGTGTGTGTGTATGTGTGTGTGTGTGTGTATGTGTGTGTGTGTGAGAGATTGTGGAGAAAACTTCTAAAACATCAGCAGAGAAGAAGAATGTGATTCTCATCTCAACAGAGAAATGTCTTGTCCTGTCTCCCCCCCCCCCCCCCAGCCGGCCTGTCAGTCAGCGTACAACGGAGACGTCCATCAGCTCTATCGCATCCTGAACGATGACCCAAACAAACTTAATGTCCAGGAGGGACGAACCGGGGACACGCCTTTCATTGCTGCCTGTCGCCGCGGCAACCTGAGGATGGTTCGATACCTTTTGGACAACCAGGCCGACGTCCAGCTGACCAATAAGGTGCTTTCACAGGATGATGATGTGATCATGTTACTGTTAAGCTCTGGATCTTCTCTGGAGGACGAAGTCAAAGTCAGAGTGAGACTCAGTTTGTCTGTCTCCTCCTTCACTCCTGTATAAAGTCTAAGTCCAGGAGAAGTGAGGACACAGCAGAGCGTCCTCCACTGATCCACTGGGAGGGAGTGGGGGGGTGATGAGCTTCTAACACGTGACACAAACATGAAGAAACACAAACAAATGTCTCTGGWGACAAAGTGCTGACACACACGTAGAAGACACAGACGAAGACGTGAAGACAGTTCTGAGCAGAAACCTGCTGCTGTGTGGTTCAGCTGTGAAACACAAACTCTGGAGACGAGTCTCTGGACACGTTTCTCTGATTCTACCTGGAGCTTATGTCTAACAACGACTTAAGTATTGTGTCAAATTGAAATAAACTTTATTGACAGTGTGTGTGTTTCAGAAACAGAGGACATGTCTCCACTACGTGTCCAAGAGGACTTTTTCTCTGCTGGACTATCTGATGATTTCCATCCTGATGCCCATCCTGCTGCTTGGATACTTTCTCATGGTGTGTTCACTGTCTGTTGCCATCCACCAGATATTTACTTCAATAAAGTTTTAATGTTTTGATTAATAACGTAGAATCTGATTCTACTTTTTTCCTCCACAAACTGTCCAAGACACTGAATCTTTGTCGTGTGTGTGTAGAGACAGAAGCAGAGGCAGAATGTGCGTCTGATGGAGGTCGTACTCGGCAGTAAAGTCAACGTCAACGCTGTCGATTATGTGAGTTTACGTCATAAAACCTGAACCTGAGCTGACTTCAGCAGAATATTCTCACATCACTCAGAAGAATAAAACTCAGCCACCAGGGGGCGTCTCAGTCTCTATAGAAAGAGAAACCTCAGAAAGAGTTTGCTGACAAAGTGCATCAGTGAGGAATGATGGGAGTTGTAGTCTTCTTCCTTCAGTGTTGATGATTAAGGGGTTTTTATCTGAATTCTCCTCAAACGTCTCCTCCCCCAAAACAAGCAGCAGCTGATTCACTCCAGTAAAAACAGAATGAAGCAGCTTCATGTTAAACTCAGTGTTTCTCTGATGAGTCGAGCTGCCGCTAACGTTCGCTCAGCTTGTTTCTCTGAAAACTTCAGATCCAGATGTCCAACGACTCAAATCCTTCATCTGCTTCACATACAGAGTAAAAAACCACCAAGATGTAAAAAGTGTTTCATAATAATGTGACTCAAACTGAATAAAGTCACTTTTGACTCTTCAGACAAACACTGACACTTAGAGAGGATGTTACGCCACCAACTGGCGACTGAATGAAACGTTACCTTGATTAAAACTACAGATTTCTGCAGGTGTGAGAATATTAAGTAAATATGATGTAAATGTAAAGAACACAATTTAATGTTTTATATGTTTGGACTGAAGAGTTCAGATGTTAATGGACAGCTGAACCACTGGGGGGCGACAGTGTGTTTGAATGATGTGTTTGTGTAGAAAGGAAACACGGCGCTTCACCTCGTCTGTCAGAGGAAGAGTCATTATCTGGTTCCTCTGCTGCTGCACAGAAACGCTGACTCCAGCATCAAGAACAACGTACGTATTAAAATGACCACAAGCATCAAATGTGACCTGAAGAGACGTTAACACCTGAACCCCGTCTCTGTCCTCTTCTACAGGATGGAGAGACACCACTGGACATCGCCACCAGACTGAAGTTCAACAAGATTGTCAACATGTTGAAGACGCAATGATGGACGGACGAGAGGAGAGAGAGACAGACAGAGTTTCTCAAGTAAAATGAATTTAAATTGTTTTATTAAAACTGTTTGATATGAATCAGTTTGAAAAAAACATGTTAAAAATCTTAACGTTAACTTTAGTGAAATCAGAGTCAAGTTAAAATCTCAAATGTCCTGTCAAAATAAAAGCATCTTATATCAAACAGTCTGTGGTTGGTGCTGCACACGTCCCACAGTCACATGACCCTGGGCACTCTGTTGTGGTCATGTGCACAACTCCGTGACTTCACAGACCAGGTTGATGATGTCACAGGAAGTGAAGGTTCACAACAGAAGTAAACATAAAATTCAGTTTGAATCGCAAGAGTGATTCTGGTTCTGTGAGTCACAGTTGTGGGGGGGTGAAGCTTTAAACAGAAAACAGTGTCCTGACGGAGTTCTGACGGCGCCCTCTAGAGGTGCTCCTGCAGCAGCTTCAGGATGGAGGGAAACATCTGTTCAGGAGCATCAAGACCCCAAATAAAATCCAGATGTTCCCAGTGTTCGATGTACTGATGGTAGATCAAGTTAGACACCTGAGGAGAGAGGGAGAGAGACAGGTGAGTGAGGACGTAGACAGACAGGCTGCAGGTTCCTCTTCAACCAATCATCATCCACAACAGTTCTCATGTCTTCAATCTGAGAACTCAAACATGTGACATGTTTCTATGGGGATGATGATGTCATGTGTGAGGACAGACTTGTTCAGCACACACTCACCTGAGTGAGGAGGACAGCGACGTCTTTGGGGTCAGCCAGCGTATCCTGTCCCCCTGAAAACAGAGCGGTGGGAACCTTCATGTCCTTGACGTTGTACTGAGGGGGAGTGGACTGAGAGGGACACGAGGGACAGAGATGGACAGTGAGCTTAGTGTCTTCATCACCGGATAAAACTGATCTGGTTCTCAGAGACTCACCTGGTTGTAGTGTCTCATGTTTCCTGTGACACCAAAGTCAAACGCCGTCAGTTTCCCTCCATGAACGTGCTGAAACAACGACAGTGTCAGAGTGTGTGTGTGTGTGTG